TTGGGGGTGGGGGTTACTTTTGGGGTTGGGGTTTACATTTATGTGTATGTGCTCATGTATACATCTACATTATGTATATATTGTGTTTTATTAGGTAGAAGATCGTTGTGTTATTTGTTTTTATAAAATTGGTTTGAGTATTATGGTTTATTGTATATTATTAATATTACCCATATTAGCTGTGTCAGATAACCAGATATTGGTTATTAATTCAAGATTCGTTTATTTCGTTATTCCTACCTAACCAATAGGTCCACTGTCGGCTTCCCTCCTTTATCTTGATTTTAGCGATTCGCTATTCGAATTCCCAATAACCAACCCGCTACTACATGTAACTTGAATGGACCGAGGATTTCTGTCATCGACTTTAGAGTAACATGTATGTACATGTATGTCGACAGGTTTTTGGAAACATGTCGACTTTATCTATGATGATGTCGACATAATCTATGAATATGTCGACATAACGATTAAATTTTGCCGACATGTTACTTTATTTTCCCGGTTTAATTATCACAGTAGTACAATCATTGTAAGTAGTTATTTATCATTTCAATGCTCGGGTGTGATAATGGTTTAGTTTTTGTATCGACAATGTGAGTCTTTTAGGGCTATGTCTTGCCATTTATTCATGCGAAGTAGAAGAAGGGTGATTGAACGCTGTTGATCCCCGAAGAAACTATCACGTGAAATACTAATAGCTAATACTGATGAGGTCAGCTCACTAATAAATATGCCTCTGGTTTCGTATATAAGCAATATAACAAGATAATTTTATAAAAGTGGCAGGTCGATCACAAATCAAAATGCTATATCAGTGCTAATTTTTATAAAAATAAAATTCTACAAACTAAACGTATTTGTTGAATAATGTATTTATTATCTAAACGGCTTTATTTTTAATGAAGCGGAAAGATAAAACTAGTGTTGTCTCCGAGGCAACCTTGGGCAATGTTACAAGTAAACTGTTAACACTGTTTCGTGATACGTATGTGATTTACATATCACAGATATATATCTACAAACATCCCTGTTAGTATATCTGGTCGCATGTCTGTATGTGTCGGGGCCCTCTCACTCTCTATCCAATAACATATTTGTGGGACAATACTTCCATGAAATTATTTATTAACAATACATGCCAATACTAATATATAAGAAAAAATCACTGTTTAAAAGTGAAACAAGAAATGTTTGTTCTTTAAAACTGAATCAGCCTGTATTCTTGCATAGATATAGTTTAGCAGTGGTACAGACACACTTTCCAGTCCACCCAGTTACGACTTCGGAGCGTATTAAAACGTATCAAGGTCTGTAGTCTATCACGGTCTGCCATTTTGAATCCCAAACAAGAAGTAAATCAATATAACTAACTTTCAAACAAAGAAATTAAGTTTTATTTTGCCTGTCTTTCTTTAATTTAATGATTTGAAAAATTATATATGGTGAACGTTCAATTGTGTCCGGTTTACACAAACATGATTATAGTGACACAGCACAGAATTAACGGTAAAACAGAAAACGATTATAGTGAGACAGAACAGAATAAACGGTAACACGTACAGAACAGAATTTAAAGTAACACCGAAAATAATAAATACTAGCAAAGAACATAATTTATAGTAACACAGAACAGAATATATAGTAACACAAAACAGAATTTATAGTAACACAAAACAGAATTTATAGTAACACAAAACAGAATTTATAATAACACAGAACAGAATTTGTAGAAACACAGAACAGAATATCTAGTAACACAGAACAGAATTTGTACTAACACAGAACAGAAATTATAGTAACACAGAACAGAATTTGTAGTAACACAGAACAGAATTTATAGTAACACAGAACAGAATTTATAGTAACACAGAACAGAATTTGTACTTACACAGAACAGAATTTACAGTAACACAGAACAGAATTTGTACTTACACAGAACAGAATTTATAGTAACACAAAACAGAATGTATAGTAACACTGAACAGAATTTGTATTTACACAGAACAGAATTGATAGTAACACAAAACAGAATTTATAGTAACACTGAATAGAATTTGTACTTACACAGATCAGAATTTATAGTAACACAGAATAGAATTTATAGCAACACAGAACAGAATTTAAAGTAACACAGAACAGAATATATAGATAGACAGAACAGAATATATAGTAACACAGAACAGAATTTATAGTAACACAAAACAGAAGTTTACTAACACAGAACACAATTTGTACTTACACAGAACAGAATTTATAGTTACACAGAAAAGAATTCATAGTAACACAGAACAGAATTTATAGTAACACAAAACAAAATCTATAGTAACACAAAACATAATTTACAGTAACACAGAACAGAATTTATAGTAACTCAGAACAGAATTTGTACTTACACAGAACAGAATGTATAGTAACACAGAACAGAATATATAGTAACACAGAACAGAAGATATAGTAACACAGAATAGAATTTATAGTAACGAAAGAACAGAATTTGTACTTACAAAGAACAGAATTTGTACTTTTACATAACAGAATATAAAGTAACACAGAACAGAATTTATAGTAACACATAACAGAATTTATAGGAACACAAAACAGATTATATAGTACCACAGAACAGAATATATAGTAACAAGGAACAGAGTTTAAATTAACACAGAACGGAATATATAGTAACACAGAACAGAATTTAAAGTAACACAAAACAGAATTTATAGTAACACAGAACAGAATTTATAGTAACACTGAACAGAATTTGTACTTACACAGAAAAGAATTCATAGTAACACAGAACAGAATTTATAGTAACACAAAACAAAATCTATAGTAACACAAAACATAATTTACAGTAACACAGAACAGAATTTATAGTAACTCAGAACAGAATTTGTACTTACACAGAACAGAATGTATAGTAACACAGAACAGAATATATAGTAACACAGAACAGAAGATATAGTAACACAGAATAGAATTTATAGTAACGAAAGAACAGAATTTGTACTTACAAAGAACAGAATTTGTACTTTTACATAACAGAATATAAAGTAACACAGAACAGAATTTATAGTAACACATAACAGAATTTATAGGAACACAAAACAGATTATATAGTACCACAGAACAGAATATATAGTAACAAGGAACAGAATTTAAATTAACACAGAACGGAATATATAGTAACACAGAACAGAATTTAAAGTAAGACAGAACAGAATATATAGTAACACAGAATATAATATATAGTAACACAGAACAGAATATATAGTAACACAGAACAGAATTTATAGTAACACAAAACAGAATTTATAGTAACACAGAACAGAATTTATAGTAACACTGAACAGAATTTGTACTTACGCAGATCAGAATTTATAGTAACACAGAACAGAATTTTTAGCAACACAGAACAGAATTTAAAGTAACACAGAACAGAATATATAGTAACACAGAACAGAATTTATAGTAACACAGAACAGAATTTATAGTAAACCAGAACAGAATTTATAGTGACACAGAACAGAATTTATAGTAACACAGAACATAGTTTAAAATAACACAGAACAGAATATATAGTAACACAGAACAGAATTTATAGTAACACAGAACAGAATATATAGAAACACAGAACAGAATTTATAGTAAACCAGAACAGAATTTGTATTTACACAGAACAGAATTTATAGTAACAAAAAACAAAATTTATAGTAACACTGAACAGAATTTAAAGTAACACAGAACAGAATATATAGTAAAACAGAACAGAATTTATAGTAACACTGAACAGAAATTGTATTTACACAGATTAGAATATATAGATAGACAGAACAGAATATATAGTAACACAGAACAGTATTTATAGAAACACAAAACAGAAGTTTACTTGTACAGAACACAATTTGTACTTACACAGAACAGAATTTAAAGTAACACAGAACAGAATATATAGTAACACAGAACAGAATTTATAGTAACACAGAATAAAATTGACAATAAAATAAACATAATTTAGATAATGATAAACAGCATTATTTTAGCAATACTAGAACAGAAAAGAATTAATAGTTTTACAAACCAGAAACAGTTATATAGAACAGAATTAATATTTACCTAAAACAAAATGAATGGTTATTAAAAACAGAATTAAAAGTCATACAGAACGGAATTAATAGTTGTAAATAACATAAGTATAAGTAAAACAGCAAAGAATAGATAGTTATTTTAGGACGGAATTAAAAGAGATACTGAACAGAATGTATAGATAAGCAAACCAGAATTAATAGTTACTTAAATATTTTGATTATCAATGGCTATATAATTTGGAGCAAACCGTCAACTTTCAGATACAATATGTAATAAGAAATGTAGAGATAAGCTTGGTATGTGATCATTCATCTGGTTTTGGCCGAAGAGTCTTGTTACGTATATACATATAGACATATGTCGTCCTAAACATCTCGGGGTCAGCCAAGAACACTTGTCTGTAACCCGGGAAGTAACCCCGGGCATACAGTCACGTGACTCAATGGACGGATGAAGAGCTGTAAACACTGTACTTAGGATGTTCTGCGTATATTACGAACGACGATAAAGTGAGCAACGTCCTGACTTACGATCATAATTTGATATTTAACATAAAACCTTCGAAAAGAACACACAGGATGATTGCATTAGCGGTATTTGTTCTCGTCTTGTTGTTTCCATGTGTTGAAGGGAACTGTAAAGTTGACGAAATTCTATTAAAGGAGGATTTTGATCCTTACCAATTCGAGGGTAAGTGGTATCTAGTATCGATGACGAGGTTATGGGGGATGGATTTCTCTCCTCGGAATTTTAGTGAATCCACTGGGCGTACCAGCTGGGGAGACAATGCCAACAAGTTTTTCGGTCGTTGGTCTCGTGGAAAAAATGGCTCCAACTGGGGAGACTGGAGAAGAAGGGGTGGAAATGGAACATCTTTAAGCGACGCTACTCGTAGACCTGGAAGTACGGGAGGTCGCAATACAAGAGGACCTTGGGGTACGGAGGGAGCCCAGGGTGGTAGATGGTCAGGCATGCGTCAGGGTGAATCGTCCACAGGCACAACCTCGGGCTATCCCCAGAGATCAAGCAACGGAGAGGAATGGTTGAGGAATGCCAATGGAACCGACACCCCAACAGACATACCGATGAGGCCTCCCGGGGGTAGGGGAAATCCTCCTCCTAGGGACGGCGTTAAGCAGGGAGGTTGGCCCGATAGATCGGGGGGTCCTCCACGCAGGAACACAACGCCACCTGACAGGCGACACAGGGATTGGTCAAATCCAAGATCAGCCATGTCCAGGCGATTTAAGAAAGTATTCAGACCAAAAAACTTCCAGCTTCAGACTGCTGTACGAGAAGACTCGAACATTGACATGTTCATTGGTATGTAATCTTAGTTTACATTGGTTATATAGATTTTTCAATAGATGTATCAGGAAGTCAATCTAATAGATAGCTTGTTAATATAACATGATGTGTCAATATATCATATAAGGTGACACGAGAATTATACCGTTAAACACGTTTAAAAATGAAGTCAAATTAATACCTAATAGCGATTAACATATAAGAATGCCATATTCTTTGTGGTCATTTAGTATTCGAACTGTTATTGTATTCGAACTGTTATTGAAAACTATATACATTGAAAAGCCTTTTATAAAGATTTTATGATGGTTCTCGTTATTCGTTGCGGATGAAGAAGCAACAAAATGACATAAATCCAATTAATTTTTAGATCTTTAAATACAATTTGTTTTAGTATGCAGTAATGAAAATATATTGATGTGTATCTTACTTGTTTCCTTTAATAGTTGGCGAATTCTTCGGACGATGCATATTCACCAAGGGTCAGGGGTCGATTACCAATCCCCGGAACACCGCCAAGTTAGAAGTTAATTTCCCTGTTCAGTGGTTCCTACCCTGTCAGCCATTTTGGATCGTGGATACCGATTATGTAGGGTATTCTGTTGTTTACTTTTGTCTCGAGGTCCTTGATGACGGCACGTGCGATCCAGATTCTGCCACGGTGTGGACTTTCAACCGGAAATTAACGGGACATGGCGAAAAGGAAATGGATAAAGTTAGAAAGGCAATGGAAAGGCTGTGTATCGACGAGGCTGATCTGACTGCGATGAATCAAACGGAATATTGTCCAATTGAAGATGAAAACGTCCAAGATCAGAGGAATTCGAAACCAACAATACACTGCAATAACGCAGATCAACAAATGCTTCGTATCGCTCTAGATTCCCCATATGATTTTCTGTCTTCCGGTAACACTGCAGCATCAATGCGTTCATTTGCGCCGAAAAGATTTCCCTCTCTAGGATTAATGTTCCTCACACTTCTTACGTGCTTCTTGTTGTTGTGGAAACCAAAATCAATCATGCTGCAAAAAAGGAATCAGTGATTGCATTGTTCTAGATGTGTAACTTCTTAACGCATAATGTATTATCAATAACAATATACAAGAATTTGCTTAAAATGCTCCTTCAGCCGCTTAATGCGAGTTTCAAAACTTTCAAATAAGATGTATTGAAGTTTTCTCTTAACATCTTCGTCCATAAAATCTGAAACTTTTTCAAATATCGGGCATCAGCGGGAGGTAGAAAAATATCACTATACGGTCAGCCACGGCATCCATGTTTAATACTGAAATGTCTTGATGCCACATTCTTGCAGATGTTCGCGGTAAACTTCCTAAAGAATCACGGTTTTCTGTTAAAGTCATGTCAGTCGCTGACAAACCGTAGCGACTGTTTAGGTCTTTAGGTATCTGTTGTAAGTCGCTGACAAACCGTACCGACTGTCTAGGTCTCTAGGTATCTGTTGTAAGTCGCTGACAAACCGTAGCGACTGTCTAGGTCTCTAGGTCTCTAGGTATATGTTGTAAGTCGCTGACAAACCGTAGCGACTGTCTAGGTCTCTAGGTATCTAGGTATATGTTGTAAGTCGCTGACAAACCGTAGCGACTGTCTAGGTCTCTAGGTATCTAGGTATCTGTTGTAAGTCGCTGACAAACCGTAGCGACTGTCTAGGTCTCTAGGTCTCTAGGTATCTGTTGTAAGTCGCTGACAAACCGTAGCGACTGTCTAGGTGTCTAGGTCTCTAGGTATCTGTTGTAAGTCGCTGACAAACCGTAGCGACTGTCTAGGTGTCTAGGTCTCTAGGTATCTGTTGTAAGTCGCTGACAAACCGTAGCGACTGTCTAGGTCTCTAGGTATCTGTTGTAAGTCGCTGACAAACCGTAGCGACTGTCTAGGTGTCTAGGTCTCTAGGTATCTGTTGTAAGTCGCTGACAAACCGTAGCGACTGTCTAGGTGTCTAGGTCTCTAGGTATCTGTTGTAAGTCGCTGACAAACCGTAGCGACTGTCTAGGTGTCTAGGTCTCTAGGTATCTGTTGTAAGTCGCTGACAAACCGTAGCGACTGTCTAGGTCTCTAGGTATCTGTTGTAAGTCGCTGACAAACCGTAGCGACTGTCTAGGTGTCTAGGTCTCTAGGTATCTGTTGTAAGTCGCTGACAAACCGTAGCGACTGTCTAGGTCTCTAGGTATCTGTTGTAAGTCGCTGACAAACCGTAGCGACTGTCTAGGTGTCTAGGTCTCTAGGTATCTGTTGTAAGTCGCTGACAAACCGTAGCGACTGTCTAGGTCTCTAGGTATCTGTTGTAAGTCGCTGACAAACCGTAGCGACTGTCTAGGTCTTTAGGTATCTGTTGTAAGTCGCTTACAAACCGTAGCGACTGTCTAGGTGTCTAGGTCTCTAGGTATCTGTTGTAAGTCGCTGACAAACCGTAGCGACTGTCTAGGTCTTTAGGTATCTGTTGTAAGTCGCTTACAAACCGTAGCGACTGTCTAGGTGTCTAGGTCTCTAGGTATCTGTTGTAAGTCGCTGACAAACCGTAGCGACTGTCTAGGTCTCTAGGTATCTGTTGTAAGTCGCTGACAGACCGTACCGACTGTCTAGGTCTCTGTTTTATATTCTGTTTTAAGTCGAAAGTTTTGTTTGAGGACGGTCACTGTTTAACTGTCTCACCGGAATCTACTCTGAAGTTTGGTCAAATGTATATGGTGAGTCGACTTTTGGATAAAAAATTAAGATGCTTAACTCATTACCCATACACTAATGTTTTTTTTAGGGCATATATATTTATAGATATACTGTGGTAAATCGAAACTTAGGAACCTATTAAATACTGTACAAATGAAGTGATGTGACAATTTTAGTTCGTTATTTACCTACTCATAGAAAACACATTGCTGAGCTCTTGTTGTTTTTTTGGTTCACTTTTCTTACTACGTACACGTGTTTTTTTATTTTGTTTCTTTCATGAAATTGTGTTCAAATAAAATTTTATAGTTAATATTAATCAAAACATTTCCAAGAAAATAATTGAAAGTGGAACTATAATGTTAGCCATGCTATCTTGTCTGTCAGATATCCATGTCTTAGTAATCAGATACTAGTCGGGACCATTAGACAAACACTGAAAAATATGCTGCTGTCGGAAACACCCGGGTATAACCTCTGCAAAATGATAAGGAAGAGGGCTGGCTATGACCTTGTCAAAAGTAAGCTGATATACATATGTAGGCCGACTTTCTACGTAAAATAAAAATACACTGGAAAGAATCACAAACATATCATCATCTAATTGATTGTTTTTAAGAATAATATGTTAATTATTTCAAGCAATGTTATCTCAACAATTATAGTATTGGTTTTCGAAACTTTGTGCCCCCCCCCTTATTATGGCAATTTACTTCTTGCTACATACAATTGGTTCATTGGGAAGTACTTTGCACGACAGCAAATAAACTACCAACACGTCCTGAGTCTGCAGTAGAGAGTACACATGTACTATACAACAACATTCATACACTAGCTAGTTTCAATATCCAGATTTAATTATACACAAGGTCGTTAAAGTCTGGTTAGCATACGGGACAAAATTGTTATATAAAGACTTAGTCTATTTTACTTTGTTGTATGTACAGCACACTGGAAAACTGATATTTAAGTGTATTAATTCCAATCAAGAAGTAACAGTTTTTAAGCCGACGTAGCCACGCGCATGGGTAAAACGATGGTTATAATTACTGAACTGTACATGTAGCGTTTTAAATACGCACGCGAGGATCAGTTGTGTGGGTATCATAGCAACCACAAACCGAACTACGTCACATAACAACTAAGTGATGCATGACTTCATTATCGACAGGTGAAACACGACAAATAAAACTATATGGAAGCTATGTGATATTGCTACACTGTTCTATCAAATACCAATTAACTCGAAATTTGGTTAAGCTAAGGTAGAAAATGTTGAAGTCCAGAAATCCCTGCCCTGCCCTGTTTTATTGTTTGTCACTTTTCTTTACGAAATAATGATACCATTGACCCTGGCAGCCTATAATTTGAAGTCAGTTGGTCTATGAATACAGTTTAATCGAAATTTGTTAGTAATGAACTTTTTTTTAAACTGAGTCGGGAACAGAATTGGATCGAAGAGACAGGGTAAGTATAACACCCCACCCATTCCCCTTAAATGTCGAAACATCAGAATGGAATATCATGGAAACAGGATTCAATACAATATCATATTACATTTTATTTAGCCGCTTTCACCTCAGTACATTTAGCGAGTAGACGAATACAAACACATGCGGTGTTTACTAGTTATGTATTAAAATGACAGATATATGCAAACAGCGGAGAACCCACGGGTAACGCTTTGTTTTTTTTCACTCCATAGATTTATAACATGAATAATTTTGACGCATCGACAGTTAATATACGGTAAAAGGTCATTCAGAAGTCAAACCGTCAAAGATATAGCACAGCCCCCTGGGGTACTCATGCTTGCTTTATATATAATCGTAGTCTCGTCATAGAGTCTCGAGCGTGTGACAGCTACATAAGCCGAGAGGTTAAAGCTGACAGTGCAAGTTAAAAAGTTTTCAAACAAATTTAAAAACAAGAACAAGAAAGTGTTCTCATTTTTTTTCTGTTTTTGAAATGTTTTCTCTGACTTCGTGCTATCGTTTCATAGGAAACGCTGATATTTTAGTTTGTACTCGCTTGCATCGAATATTTTTTAGCTGTATAAAACAAGTATTTTCCCTTTGTTTTGTCTTCCTAATCAATATTGTTCAACTGATCTGATGGAAAACGTTGGTTCACAATCGTCGAAGTTTCATATTCACTGTAGCGTCACCTTGCGCACGTATTGAACAAATGATACTTGTTACCATGCAAGTGCATCCAGAAATTAATGTCGACACTTCTTTAGATACGATGACAGCCGGGAAAGATAGTGTCACTGGGGAACATCTGAAGACCAGATTATTATTTTTTAATCTCGATTGAAAGCTTTTTAATTTTCACAGTCAGCTTTTAAAGCGTTTGATAGTTCCTGTTGGCTGAAAGGTGAAGAGCGTTTGATAAAAGAACTGTTGGGGAAGTTTTTATGGGATATTTATTATTTCGCGGCTCTAAATTCTTGGGAATATATCGTTTGGGGAGCAAGCACTAAAAAAAGTACGCACACACATGCGTTTATCAGGATAATTAACAAAGTATCAGTTATTGGTCGGGAACCACTTTCAAATTATTAATTACTTTTACTTGTTAAATAACCATAAATATCATATTCTAATAATATAATCAGAATGACGGTGGTCATGCGCTTAAGCTTACCGGAAGTGAACGATTTAAAATGGAGCAACACGAACCGCCCCCGGGCCGTCCAGCATTGCGTTGTTAACTACCCCGGGGTATCAAATCCGTCACATTACACAGGCCATACCTGTACTGGATCAACTCTATTGACAGTATCAGGTATGTTTACCTAGTGTGGCTACATCTCGGTCAGGTTCCTATCTGACTGCAGGCGTTAACATAACCTTCAACACAACCTCACAGATTTTATATTAGGGATGTATGCTACTGTAATCTGGAGTGTATCTCCTATTCAAAAAGAGTTATAAAACTTATTTCTATAGACTGATAACGTGGACCACGTTAATTCACACACAAGTATATACAAATCCTCGGCTAATTCTGACGCATTCAATGCAGGTCGTTGGCGAATAACAACATCAGCATCCTTTTTTCCACACTAATAAAACAAATAACAAACATTTAGTTCCTTTTTGTAATGCATTTATTTTCAATTTTATCAAAGAACCTTTGCCATCTTCAACACACTCACGGAAGTTTTATATTAATGGCTCATGGTAGACTGTTTAAGTTACCGGTCATCAATCTGTCGGAAAAAAATGTGGTTAAAATTGCAGTTATTGTATTCGATAAATACTATAAGTATATTGTTTTGAAAAGATTTAATATTTTTAATGACTTAAATCTATGTCAAGTAAACGCATGCGACGCTTGTTCCCGACGGCTACTTATCTCACAAGAAGCAGGGTTGAGACCATGTTTACGTCATTATTATGCAAAACGAGATGTCACGAGACCAGAATCCAACGAATAGCAACTATATCTTCGACTGGGTCAGAGCTAAGTGTAACATTTAGGCGATATAGTTATCACATGTGCATTAAAAGCCTCGCAACTCTTAATGGTTAACAGACACTTTGTCCCCTTGTCCTTCTTAAGCGCCTCCCATTGGTCTAAGGACTCCTTTCATTGGACGACTACGTTATTACATGGCAAAATATCGAATTCTTTACGGCACGTAAGGAAATAAAATTTCGTTTTATTTTATATCTTTGACACGTTTCACATCTTGAATGTGGTATTAAAGGAAACTTTATAACTTTTGCTAAGTAAGAGAAGTAAGAACTGCCAAAGTTATCCTGTTGACAAGAAGAAAAAGAGCGAATGTAAGCAGCACGGTACCTTTAATTTCTGAAAATTAAAATCAGGAGACAAGCAGTAGTAATCGAACTCCTCGGCTTTATTCGTCTCTTCACCGTTTTAGTTAGTTGATACTGAAAGGAAATTTGATAAAAGAAGAAAAGAAAATGAAAATAAATAAAAGTAATGACATTTGTATATGAGCTTGTGTTCTAACATGACATGGTCTTATTATATTTTTTCGGATTATGTAAACCTTTGAAATTTCAGTAAAATGATAAATGTTGTTCAAGTAGATCTCATCAATGGACGTAGGAAGCAGGTTGAAAGGTAACTTAACAAGCATTTCCCATTTTTATGATAGTGAGCAGTCATACCAAATAAAATTACTATAATGTCATATGCCTGTGTACCATTACTTTACACAATAACACCAACTAAAAATGACATTCCCTTCTACTTCTATTACAATGTCATCTTGGAAATCATGGAGGTAGGACACAACCCGGGAACCACAACATTGCTTTTGTCCAACTGGTTCCCCCTGTCAGAAAAAGGGACAGCATTCCTTGTGACGGTTGATGACAACTTTGAAGCATCAGCTTGAAATACACAATACAGTCCAAATGTCATCATTTGTGGATTAATGAAGTTCAATCACTAATTTGAAATTATACTGGTTGTTAAAAAGTTGATTAAATTTTCATGAAAAAAATCTCTTTCTATCCCAATAAACAAAAAAGAACTTACTCTGGAGGGCTATGCTGAACTCTGAAGGTGCCAAATGTGAAGTTCAATCAATAGGGATATATCCGTACTTCTTTGTTGTTTAACTGGGAGCAAGTCCTGCTGATGTGTCCCTTATGCTCCAGTTGATCATGGCTACAGATGTACCTTCGGAGGACATTCCAATGATAAAGTGTCCTGCCCACACAATTTTGCAGTGACAGCCATCGTGTGCCAACTCGCTCTCTGATCTTCAATGGTTCCACTTCCTGAACGTCAGGAAACTCTTTATTCTGCTCTTTTGTCTTCGCACTGAAATGGAAATTAGCACAATAAAGTAATATTATGGGTTCATTCACAACTTCAATGTAAATACTACAAATACGAAGTTGAATGCCAATAGATTTACTGTCATAATTATTCTTAAACTTTGACATGTTTGAAATAAATATGTTAATAGCCAAACGATGTTTTAATTTGTAACTATGATGGAAATGGGAGTGTCATTGCCTTTCGTCGTACTACAAATGTCGAATATAAAATCCTACATATGTGCATCGAAGAGGTTTTCATCTGTACCAATCTCAAGTAATATTTATTTAAAAGTTTGCACAACCATAGAAGAGAAAATACTTTCCTAAAGGCTTTAACAACCGA